GCTTGTTATGGTGCAGAAGAGGTGATGCTGGTTTGGAGACAAGCATGTCCTGGAGGGAGGGAAACACTGCTTGAGAGCTTGTTAGGGCTACCCAGCACATAATTTGTGGCAGGCAGCTCCCTTCCCTTGGAAATTGGTGTGCAGAGGTGCTTGTCAAGTACAGGATGTCCAGTTATTGAGGTGTCACAGTGTTATTGTTGGCCATGATGAAATGCCTGGACAGGAGGTGACTGTAGCAGTGACTCAGGCCCTGCTGCTGTGAACAGTTTGTTTTGTGCTCTAAAAAACACAGGACAAGGGCTCCCAGTTTGTTTTGTGCTCTAAAAAACACAGGACAAGGGCTCCCAGCTTTTATTGGGGGCACTCAGTCTCTGTGTGACTTCTGCTCATCATTCATGGGGAATTCACTGCTGGGCTGGGTTGTAAAGCATTAAATCTTCAGCCCTTACAGCAGCTGCTTTCTCTGCTTATTTGTGTGCACACATTATCAGTGTGAACCTCAAAGTTTGGTTTCCAAAGGCCAAAATGTCGCTATTGTACCTTCCAGCTGTGCTTATGAACCTCTCTCATTTAGGCTCTCATTTTTTCACCGAGAGTTGAATCCTCTCAACTTCTCTGGGCTGTCTGGGAAGGATGCTGAGGGTTGCAAGTGGAGCACAGCAGTGCCTCTGAAAGGATTTCCTGGCTCCTGGTGACGAGTTGCTGAAATAGCTTTTTATTTGACTGATTTCTATAGTGACTGTTGCCCTGGTAGCAAAGCTTAGAGAGTAGAAGCACAAACACGAGCGGGGCACAATTTGATTTCAGTAGGCTTAGGTTTTCTTTGCTTTGGTTGGGTTTCAGAGTGCTTTAGGAGGAGTTTCAAGATGAACAAACAGATAAGGGAGGTGTTTTTTTACTGGTTTGAGTGGATGTGGTTTTGTCTCATCAGTGTTAATTGTGAGAATTAACCATTTCTGCTTGCGAGGAGACCCCAGACCTGGGCCTTGTCCTCAGCATGGGAAAAGTGTGGAGCTGGTCCAGAGGAGGCCTTGGAGATGCTCCAGGGCTGGAGCCAGGGTGGGAGAAGAGAAGGCTCCAGGGAGAGCTCAGAGCCCCTGGCAGGGCCTAAAGGGGCTCCAGGAGAGCTGGAGAGGGACTGGGGACAAGGGATGGAGGGACAGGACATGGGAATGGCTCCCAGTGCCAAAGGGCAGGGCTGGATGGGATATTGGGAATTAGGAATTGTTCCCTCCAGGGTGGGCAGGGTCTGGCACAGCTGGGGCTGCCCCTGGATCCCTGGCAGTGCCCAAGGCCAGGCTGGAGCAGCCTGGGACAGTGGAAGGTGTCCCTGCCATGGCAGGAGTGGCACTGGATGGGCTTTGAGGTCCCTCCCAAGCCAGATCATTCCATGATTCTCATGTGGAGGAGTTATCAGCTGATGAATTCGTGGTTGATTATTTTGTTCTTTAACCAAAAAGTTTGATGCTCCCACCTTTGCTCCTTGTGCCCAGCTGATCTGAGAAGAGCAGGTCTTGATGGGCAGGGTTGTAGCAGTGCACCCCAAATCCTTGTTTAACCCTCTGGCCAAGGTGTAGGTGGAAGTGGTGATGGGAATAACTCACCATGTTTTGGGTTAGCACTTCAGTGTTTACTGGCAACAGGGGAAAAAGGTCCTGTAAACACAAAGAGGTGCCACCTGGAGCCCTTGATGAGGTTGTTTCATCCTGCTCACTCTTGTGTGGGCATTTTGAGGTACTGGTTTTCCACAGCATCATTATCACGGTGCAGTTGGTATTGTTATGGTAATCACATTGTTATTTATAATTCCTTGTCGGGTTCAGGCTCCTTAACGAGGCAGCTCTGCTGCAGGTGGAGGGAATTTTTAGTCAGCCAAGCTAAAGAACCTGTGGCAGAGCTGGGGAGGTTTGTGTGTGCCTCATCTTGGGCTGACACTGCTCCCCACCTTCTGTCTTCAGGAGAGGAGAAGACCTTTTGTGGAAGGGAAGGGCTCAGGGAGAGCTGTGAGTCCCCCACAGTTTCTGCAAACCAAACCCCCATCAAGCTTTCATGGATGCACCAGAGGGAATGAGGAATTTGTAATGTGGCAAGCTGGAAGGTGTGAGTAAAGAAGCTTTTTTGCCTTTCCTCCCCCATTAGGCAGGCTGTGAAAACAGGCTTGAATAAGAAGTGGTGTTAAAAATTTTAGTTGGTTTTCCTCATTTTAACTCTCAGTGAAAACAACTCATCTCCAAGGCCTGTGTCCTTGTCCTTCTCCTGTATCTTTTACTCTGCTTTTACAAAAGGTGCTTGATAGTGATTTCCACTGGTGGTGTGAGAGCACATTTTGGAACTGATGGTAGATGCCAGCAGTGTTGCCCAAACCTGCAGTTTTACTGCAAGGCACACTTCTGTTGGTTTTTGTCAGGCTGCCAGGCCGGGTATCCTGGGGCCACACAGCATTTTGGGACTCTCCTGCCAATATCCAAGTGCTGTTTGCAGCTGGCAACAGATTTTTTTCCATCTGGAGCTCATCTTAGCACCTGCTGGAAGCTTTCATGGAATGGTTTAGGTTGGAAAAGCCCTCTGAGCTCATCAAGTCCAACCATTCCCCCAAGCACTCCCAAGGCCACGTCTAACCCCTGTCCCCAAGTGTCACATCTACAAATGTTTAAATCCCTCCAGGCAGGGATGGTGACTCTGCCACTGCCCTGGCCAGCCTATTTCAGAGCTAGACAACCTTTTCCATGGAGAAATTTTTCCCACTATCCAATCCAGACCTTCCCTGGCAGTGGAGATGTAGTTTGGAGGTTGGCTACAGGCTCCTGAGCTGTGTCTTTAAATGTTGTCAGGGTGGACAGGTATCTGCTCTGTCAGGTTCAGGGATTAGGGAAATGAGGATTTAGGCACTCTAGTGTTGAAAACTGAAAAGATTTAGTTAATACTGGCCTAACTTGTGTGCCCACAGGGTGCTCAGACAACCCCAAAGCTGGGCTGAATGGCTGCTGCAGGCCCAGAGCTTGGGTGGGGGAACAGCAATAAAATAAATAACTTTGGCTTTATCATTGTGAGGCACCATCCTGGGCAGCAACAAGAAGTCTGTTAGGATTGTCTGTTGGGAGTTTGTGCTGCCAGAGTTGGGATTTGAAATGAGTACATGGAGATGGGCAGGTGGAGCTGAGCTGCTGCTCAGTCCTGGCCTTGTAGGAGCTTCTAATGTGGGTTACCATGCATAATTCAGGCCATCCTTTTGCCATGTTCAGGGCTCTGTAACTAAATCCTGATTTGCTAAACACAACTTGAATAATGAAGCAATCTGTGGCTTGAAAGCCTTCCTCAGTATTGAAAGAAAAGGAAGCAAACAGAGCTGTGTCCTCACTTTGCTCTAAAACAACACAGATTTGCACAAAGTGGAAGAGTCATCTTCATCCCTTGCTCTGTGGATTTAAATCTCTGCACATTCCTGGTGTCCAGAAGTGAGAGGTGGCCTGTCCAAAGTACTGCCAGTCCTTCCATCCAAGGCTTTTTCTTTTCTCTACCATCACAGTTCCTGCCATGGAAAACCAAATTAAACTGCACCTTGTGTTTCTTGCTGAGCGTAGAGGTAACAGGTCAGAAAATGAATTGGTGTGCAGTGTGGTCATGTTTGCATAGGAGGAAAGCTCTGTATCTGTTCTGAGCCACTTCAGTTCAAATCGTGCCAGTAGGGTAAATTATTTTGGTTTTCCTCAGTCACAACTTTGCTCCCTTTGACGAAACACAAACACTTGGGAGCCTGTAAGAGGCTAAAAATATTCTTTCAGCTGATAAAGGCTTGGTTTGACTTTTGAAAATATGAAGTGGTTTTCTTCCCTGTGCTGTTCTCACTTCATGTTTATGAGCTGCAGCAGAGCACGTGGTCTGTGGGATGGTGGGGCTTCCACTGCTTTCCTCTCCTTGCTCTGGGGAGGAGCAGTTTTGGGTTTTGGTTGAATAAACACCTCACACCTGAGGATTTGCTGGTGGTTGCTGCCCTGCAATCACTACCTTGTTTGCTGCTTGTGTCTCAAAAATTCAGGAGGAGATTCCAAGCAAGTAACTTGTGTGTGCTTGTAACTTTTGTACTGGAAGCAATCAGCTTTTCTAAGCTGTTTCTGCAATTCATTGAGTATAGAAGTTTCTTACCTAGTTCCTCTTTAAAAAAAAAAAATCTCCTGGTTCCTTTTTTTTATGTGGTAGACAACATTTCTTTGAATTGGAGTAGTGCACCCTGGTAATGGTTGAATTTACCTCATAGAGCTGCTAAATACTTGCAAACCTAAATGCTTCAGTTTAATTTTAGGCTAATCTGCTTGATTATTGATTTTCCTGATGCTCTTTTGGCCCAGACAGCAGACCCTTGTTTATCTACATAAATTTTTTAGTTTTGATGACTATATGTGGCACCTGGAGGAGTTCTAGGGTGGGTTGGATGGGGCTTGGAGCAAGCTGGTCTAGTGGAAGGTGTTCCTGCCCATGGAATGGGATGAGCTTTAAGGTCCATTCCAACCCAAACCAGTCTGGGATTCTGTGATTTTAGATTTTTGCTTTGCAGAATGAAAAACAGGTTTTGTATTTGGTCACTGGTGCCACACATTCTATTAAGGTACCAGTCTGTAAGGGGTAGAAGAGATTTCTACCACAAATAATACCAAACATTTGCTCTGTAGCTCCTTAAACCCATGAGTATGATGATTGTAAGAGGAGTTTGGGTGCTGCTCATGGGCTAGAGCATTGAAATGGAAAATTTCAATGAGAATCAGAGAAATTCAGAGAATCAGAGAATCAGAGCAAGAGGGAAGCTTCCCACAGCTGGACAGTGGTGTTCAAGGTGATGTTGTTTTAGGTGAGCTTGGGAAGGATGATGCTGTGTGTACAAGGCTGGAGCTCAGATCTCCAGAGTGTGTTGTCCATCCCAACCCAAGCAGAGCTGGTTTTGTGCAGGAATTTTGGCACTGAATGCCATGCTAATGCCTGGTTCTGTGTTTCTCTCCCCTCCCCAGGAGGAAGGATGCCAACACGAAGATGAAGTAGAGCGTTTCCTACGCTGGCCGCACGCCGCTGTCGGCTGGGCAGGGACGGGCTCTGCCTCTGGCCAAACCCATTGCAGGGACAGCAAGATGAAGCCAAGGAGGAGCTTCCCACCACGCTGGAGCCGCAGTGAGTGCTGCCCACTTTAAAAAGCCCATGTGCCACCGTCCCCGGCGAGATGAAAGAAGTGGTGCTGTGGTCACCCGAGGAGGTGACCGGCTGGCTGACGGACAATGCCGTGCCGGAGTACTGTGAGCCCCTGAAGAACTTCACCGGGCGGGACCTCATCAACCTGACGGAGGAGGATTTCAAGAAATCCCCTCTGTCCCGGGTGTCTTCCGACAGCGGGCAGCGGCTGCTGAACATGATCGAGGGGCTGAAGATGGCTCACCACATGGAGGCTCACAAGAACGGCCATGCCAACGGGCACGTGCGCGCCGGCGACGCCCCGCGCCAGAACGGCTTCGGCGCCGCGCTCAAGCTCAATGGGGGCATCCCCAACGGGTTCAAGAAGGAGATGATCAAGATCCCCATGCCCGAGCCGGAGCGCTCGCAGTATCCCATGGAGTGGGGCAAGACTTTCCTGGCTTTTATTTATGCACTTTTTTGTTTCGTCTTCACCACGGTGACTATCTCGGTGGTTCATGAACGAGTGCCTCCCAAGGAGGTGCAGCCTCCCCTCCCAGATGCATTTTTTGATCGCTTTGATCGGGTGCAATGGGCTTTTTCTATTTGTGAAATCAACGGCATGATCCTTGTAGGACTGTGGTTTGTTCAGTGGCTGCTCTTAAAATACAAGTAAGTAAAACCTTTTCAACACTTGAGTGCTTCTGGCAGCTTTTGGAGGGCAGATGCTGGTTTGCACCCAAACAAAATGAAGCTCCTTGTGATCTTCTTATGTCAGTTTTCAAAGGTGAGGTAGCATGCAGTGTGAGCTGCTTGTGCAGAAGGCAGAGGTCTAAATGTTCCCTAAGAAGCTGAGCAGCACCCCTGCTTGTGTTTTCCTCAGTGTTTAACTCAAACCATTTTCATGGGTGAAAAGCCATGGATTGGATGAAATGATGTTCTGAACTCACTGTTTGTTCTGAGGGAGCACAGCGCATGCTCTTGGGAGGGCAGCTGTGAACCAGGATCCAAGGGAATTGCTGGAGCTGTGCCAGAGAAGGTTTAGGTTGGATTTTAGGGAAAGGTTCTTCCCCAGAGGGTGCTGGGCACTGAACAGGCTCCCCAGGGAATGGGCACAGCCCCGAGGCTGCCAGAGCTCCAGGAGGGTTTGTACAATGCTCCCAAAGATGTATGGAGTGGGATTATTGGGGTATCTGTGCAGGGACTGGATCTGGATCAATGATCCTTGTGGGTCCCTTGCAGCTCAGGATATTCCATGATTTTAAACCCAAGCGAAACAGCCAGAGAGGGTGGTGTGGGATTGTCCCCAGTAAGGAGATGTGGGGTTAATAGGGCCATCCCAGGGATCAAACACCCTGTGGTGGAGCTGAGCAGAGCCTGTAGGTGAGGAACAGCAGAATCCTTGGAGGTTTTGAAGCAGTGAGATGTGGGCTGAGATGATTTAACATACATATATTGGTGTCACTGGCAGATGTGAAGGTCCCCCCTGCCATGTCCCCATTTGCTTTGGGGTGTCTGTTTTTATTTATGTTCTAGAATCACAGAATGTTTGGGCCTGGAAGGGACCCTAAAAGTCATCCCATTCCAACCTCCTGCTGTGGGAAGTCCTCTTTGGAAGGGCCTTTTCTGGTGTTAGGGGAAGATGCCAGAGCTTGGTCAGTCTGTGCACTGATCATGGAATGTTTCAAGGACCAAAATCCCTCTTTTCTGTCCATGAGCAGAGGGATGAAAGTCCAAGAGGCCCAAGCTGTGGCTGAGCAGCAGAAAGGGACGAGCAGGAGAGGAACAGGAGCCCAGCGAGGTGGCTTCATCTGGAGAACCTTGTTCTTGTGGCTTTGCATGGGGCACACCAAAGGGGTGGTGACTCAGTGCTGCAGAAAAGCTGAATCCCTTTTGTGGTGGGGTTATCCCCTCCCTTTGAAACTTCATTCAGGAATAAAGGGAGGGCATTGGGCCAGATGGGCCTTCCTCACTTCTGCTGCCTCATCCCTGGCAGTGCCCAGGGCCAGGTTGACACTGGGGCTTGGAGCAGCCTGGGACAGTGGAAGGTGTCCCTGCCATGGCAGGGGTGGCACTGGATGGGCTTTAAGGTCCTTTCCAAGGCAAACATTCTGTGATTCCATGATTCTGATGCTGTCCATGGCATGGGGTTGGGCTGGTGTCTCTCCAGAAGGCAGGAGCAGGTCTGGCAGGGCACTCTGGAGCTCAAGGCAGCTGCTGAGGCAGATGAACTTCCTGGGAAGCATTCCCAGATGCTGTGGGAGAAGCACAGTGCCAGGATTGTGTTTGGCTCGTGGGGCTAAAGGAGCAGCCTGCTCCTGCTGAGGTCTGCAGAGCTGGGATGGAGCTCTGGGCCAGGAATACGTGTGGAGGTTGTACTTGCTGGCTCTGTCTCACACTCACACAAATCCTCCTGGGAGAAAGGGAAATATGAAGCTTTTAACATTTATTTTTACTTTATATTACAGTGCAGAGCTCTCTCAGATTTTCCCAAGTTAAAATATGCCAAATCCTGCAAAATCAAGTGGTAGTTTTAATTAAAAAAATAAATTCAGTGCTCAGAGAAATGATTCTTTGGTCTCTCAGAATATGGTTTTGCTCAGCCTTTAATCCCCAACCCCCTGTTTGCCTTAATGTTAAAAAGAAAAAAGCAGGTTCATGTCTGATTCTAAAAGCCACAAGGTTAGATGTGAGAGGAAAAATTCTGCAGAGGAGAACCTGTGGAATTCTGGTTCTAAAAGCCACAAGGCTGAGATATGAGAGGAAAAATTCTGCAGAGGAGAACCCCTGCTCTACTGGAGTGGTGCCCTCCACACTTAAATTTCAGTTTGTGGAACAAGATGAATAATTATCATTCTTAACTCACAGCTCTGCCCATGTTTACACCAGGAGAGGGAAGAAAAAGCCTGGAATAGTGTGTTACAGCAGGGAGTGCTCCAGTGCAAAATGTGTTTAGCCTGCAAGAGTTGAATTTTTCCTGATAAATCAAGGCACTCAAGGTGTTACTGATCTGGCCCTGCAAACTCATACTCCTCCAAGAGTGGAGCACTCCAGTTTAATAACCATGCCAAAAGCACTGAAAAATTTAAAAGGTGGCCAATTTTGACTTTGGAAAGAGCTCAGCTTGATAGGAATATTATATTTATTTTTATGTGAGCAAAATAGCAACAACTGAATTCCAGTGCCTGAAGGGAAACTCCAAGAAAGAAGGAGAGGGCCTGGGGACAAGGGATAGAGGGACAGGACACAGGGAATGGCTTCAGACTGACTGAGGGCAGGGATGGATGGGATATTGGAAGGAATTGTTCCCTGGGAGAGTGGAGAGAGCAGCCCAGAGCTGCCCCTGGATCCCTGGCAGTGCCCAAGGCCAGGTTGGATGGGGCTTGGACAGCCTGGGACAGTGAAAGGTGTCCCTGCCATAGCAGAGGTGGAATGAGATGATCTTGGAAGGTTTCTTCCACTCCAGACTGTTGTTGGATTCTGTGAATGCCAGAACCTGCAGCTTGAAATGGCCATGAGTGCAAAGAGCAGTGATTTCAAATGAACCAAACCCACAGGGTCTGTAGCCAGTGGCACACGAAGGGTGATTGCTGTAATTGGATTCACCCCAATTTCTGTAACCCTGGCAGTGATCTCTCCTTAGGATCTCTCCAGAGGCTGCTCCTGTCCTGGTGGATGTGCCAGGAGGGGTTTAATTGTCTTTTTTGGAGGTGTTTTTAGGTGTTACCCAGTGGGACAGTTGAGGGGCTGGCTGTCCCTCCTGAGCCCATCCTTTACCCCAGGTGCTGATGCTGGGTTTGCAGAAGCACCTCACAGTACCCCAGCTGTGCATCTGCCCTCTCAGTGAGCATCAGCCCTCACTGATAAATGTGGCTGTGGCTGTACCCCCTGCAAACACCCTGTCCTGCAGCCAGCCCAGCTCTGCATTTTTATTTGGGAGCTTTCCTTGCTGATGTGAACGGCTTCCTTTATAATGCTGCTCGGGAAAGATGTGTTCTCTCACTCCTCTGGGTTACACAGGAGACTCTTTGTAATCACTGAATTGTGTGTCAGCTGGAATAAACTTACTCCTTTTCATCCCACAGTGAAAATCCTGTAACTTTATCCCCTGCCTCAGATAGGAAATCAGTGACTGGCCACAGCTAACAGAGGGGTGTGGGGCATGAAATCTCCTTTAAAGTTTTCAGCACCCAATCTGCACAGGGTTCTGCATCCTAACCCTTAGATTGCCTGTAGTCACCTTCAAAGGCAGTGTGAGCTGTGTTGCTCCTGTGTTCCTGGAATATTTGTGCAGTAGTTCAGCATTCCCTGATAGTGTCACCAGTTTCCAAAGCATCAGGAGAAACCAGCTGCTGCTTTGTTTTATTTACCTTTGTAGATTTTGTTTCCCTCCTCATTTGTGGCTGTTTTTTCCTCCCTGGCAGGTCTATAATTAGCAGAAGATTTTTCTGTATCGTTGGCACACTATACCTGTACCGGTGTATTACCATGTATGTGACTACACTCCCAGTACCTGGAATGCATTTCAAGTGTTCTCCAAAGGTAAATTCCTCATCTGCCTGTTTCCCCTTCACCCTGCTCTTCCCAAAGCTGCTTTCTCAAAAAGTGTTTCTAAGGGAGGGGATTTGTCCCCTGCGTGCTCAGGTGAGGGCCCACCTGGAATTCTGTGCACAGTTCTGGTGTCTCCAGCATAAGGAGGACATGGAATTGTTGGAGCAGGTCCAGAGGAGGTCATGGAGATGCTGAGGGCTCTGGATTCAGGCTGGGAGAGCTGGGAATGCTCAGCCTGGAGAAGGGAAAGGTGTGTGGAGACCTCACAGCTCCTTCCAGGGCCTGAAGGGACACAGGGGAGCTGGAGAGGGACCCTGCAACAACAACTGGAGGGACAGGACACAGGGAATGGGTTCAGACTGGCAGAGGGCAGGGCTGGATGGGATATTGGGAATTAGGAATTGTTCCCTGGCAGGGTGGGCAGGCCCTGGCACAGGGTGCCCAGAGCAGCTGTGGCTGCCCCTGGATCCCTGGCAGTGACCAAGGCCAGGCTGGATGGGATTGGAGCAGCCTGGGACAGTGGAAGGTGTCCCTGCCCATGGCAGGGGTGGGATGGGTGAACTTTAAGCCCAAACCACTCTATAATTTTAATTTGAGAGTGCTGGTTTGGTGTGACAGGGACACCCTTCTGCCCTCTCAGTGGACATGTTGACAGGTGCTGTGGGGCAGTGCAGGGATTCCCACCCTTCTCAAAGCACTGAGCTACCCGAATTCTGTGGCATTTTCAGCTAATTTGCGTGATCAGCATGTTCCTGTCCCCACTGAAGCTGCTGAAGGTGTGCAACCTTTGCCATGTGTGAGTCACTGATTTCTAAATGAACACACACCTCAGTGTGCCAAATCCAGATAGGATTTGTGGTTGAAAATGGCCCAGAGAGACTTTCCTAAGCCTCTCTCCTGCCCATATTTTTGCAATTCTGGTAGCACAAGGACTTCTCACCTCCTCCCCAGCCCAGCCCTGACTCCCAGGGATAAATTGTGAAAGCCATGGCTGAAACAAGGCTACTGGGACAGAGGTGCTGACCTTGTGGTCAGCCTGGGAGGGTAATTCAGTGCTCAGGGTGGAGATGGGACAGAGCTGGTGCTGTTGCATCCACCCCTGGTCATCCAGCATTGCTGGAATCCTGCTCCTTGCTGCAATTCCTGGGGCTGGCTATGCTGTGACGCAGCTGAAGCAGGAGAGAGGGCACAAGCACAGCCATAAATTAGCTGGAAGCTGTAAAAATCACTGAGGTACAGGTAATAAAAGCCTGATTGGACTTGATCCACGTGCTGAGGTACAGGTTGTAAAATCTTGATTGGACTTGATCCATGTGCTGTCGTTGTTTTGGTGAGGATTGGCACTTCCAAACAAAGCTTTGGTTCCTCAGGGAAGTCCAGCCAGAACTTTTGTGGCTTTTTGAAGGATTTTGGAAAGAGGAATGAGTAGGAGAGGATCAGCACTGTGCTTGAACAGCCTGCTGCTAGGAAATTAAAAAAGAGAGAACACCAGGTATTTATAGGCTGAAGTGAATAAATCTGCCCGTTTGGGGAATCTGGGGAATTTATGGCCTTGGCAAATCCTTCTCATGACTCAAGTAGAGACAAGCTGAGGGCCCTGATAAGATTAAGGAGTTTTCTTGAAAGCCCTAAATGTACTGGTGGGAAAAGAATAACCTCTCAACACCTTATTGAGTTCTGTGTGATTGTGAAAAGTGGGCTTTGGGGAGCAGTTTGGTGTTTGAGAGCAACTGTTAGCAGGAAATGTTTAATTCCTGCAAAGCACACGCTCCAGTCTGTCAGAATTTATTAATTTTCACTTCTTAAAGCAAGGCCAAGCTTTAAAATAAAAACATAATGGCCAGTCTGGGGTGGGGGGGTGTTTGTGTTTCCTTCTGACAGTTGAGTGGTGTCCATGGATTTTCAAACACCATAAAATGAGGTGAGGATCCAGTTTCTGTTGGAGTGGGGAGCAGAAGGAAATAATCTAGCAGGCTTTTCCAGGGCTTTGGGGTTTGGAGTGAGATGTTCCTCTGTTCATCAGATCCTGGATTTGGCAGTTCAGTCTGGGCAGTTCCTCCTGGTTTCTGTTGGATGATCACCAGTAGGGCCTGTGCTGTTACCAGCAACATGAACTGAATTAAACCTCATTTATTTTAGAGCGTGCTGACTCTTGAATAGAAGGAAAATCTCACCTGAGCACCAGCTACAAGAAGTGCAAAGCACCAAAACACTCCTGTCTCATTCCCAGTCTTTTTCCTGCTGAAATGTGCTGCCAGCTTTGGGGAAAGGCTGAGGATTTATTTATCTGCTGATTGATCTTGTGGATCAAAGCAGAAGGGGAGGAGAACTGTGGCATTCACATTCTCTGATAAAATCCCTTCACCCAGCATTTTTCTCCTGGGAAGCTGAGAAGCCTCAGAGAAAAGGAAAACAATTCTTACCTCATTTGCTTCTCCTGTGTTGTGCTCATGTGGAATGTGTTTGGAGATTGTTTATTGCATTCTGCTGTGAGTTGTTTTCACTCATTGGCCAATCACAGTCAAGCTGTGTCAGGACTCTGGAGAGAGTCACAAGTTTTCATTATTAGCTTTTGAGCATTTAGTAGGTATCCTTTTTGTATTCTTTAGTATAGTATAATATTCTTTAATATAATATAGTATTCTTAAATATAATATAGTGTTCTTTAATATAATATAGTGTTATAAAATAATAAATTGGCCTTCTGAGAACATGGAGTCAGATTCATCATTCCTCCCTGCCCCGGGGGTCCCTGCAAATACAATAAAGAACTGAAAAGCCAAATTGCTGCTTAAAACCATTGCTTTGAGCTGTGATATTTTACTCTGTTTTTGTGTTTTGCTGTCCCACCAGCTCTTTGGAGACTGGGAATCTCACCTGAGAAGGATAATGAAGTTGATTGCTGGCGGAGGCTTGTCCATCACGGGCTCCCACAACATGTGTGGGGATTACCTGTACAGCGGCCACACCGTCATCCTCACCCTCACCTACCTGTTCATCAAAGAGTGTGAGTGCCCTGCTGCCTTCCTCTCTGAGGGGTTCCTGTTGTGTTCATGAGCACAATTCCAGTTTAAATATATGTGTGCTCCATGGTGAAACAGCCTCACGCTGGGTATTGGGGGAGAATTCTTCACTAGGGGGGTTGTAAGGTTTTGGGTTGGGAGGGACCTAAAAACCATCTTATCCCACCCCCTGTCATGGCAGGGACACTTTCCACTGTCCCAGGCTGCTCCCAGCCCTGTCCAGCCTGGCCTTGGGCACTGCCAGGGATCCAGGGGCAGAAGCCACAGCTGCTCTGGGAATCTGAACCTGCCCACCCTCCCAGGGAACAATTCCTAATTCCCAATATCCCATCTAAACACAAGCAGGTTGATTTGACTGGCCAGGGTATTATATATCTTAATATATATATATAATATTTAAATATCTTCTATATCTTATATATATATATCTTATATAAGATATATTGTATCTTTCTCAAAAGATTTCATAACCTTTCTCATTTCCAAGGATGTCATTACCCCTGAGTACAATTTTAGGCTCCACCTTTAAGAGAGTGATCCTTATTTTGTGATCTCAGCATTCCTGCTGTTAATCTGAGCCCAGGCACCTCTGTGTCAGGCAGGATTGCAGTCCATGACCTCAGCTAATCACTGCAGCAGTCCTGATAAGCTTCCAGCTGGGAGTAACCCCTGCTTGTGCTTCTTTCTTTGCAGATTCCCCACGGCGACTCTGGTGGTACCACTGGCTCTGCTGGGCTCTCAGCATGGTGGGGATGTTCTGCATCCTCCTTGCTCATGACCACTACACTGTGGACGTGGTGGTGGCTTACTACATCACTACAAGGCTATTCTGGTGGTACCACACAATGGCCAACCAGCAAGTGAGTGCCTCCCACTCCTTGGATGCTCCTGCTTGTAGCCTGGGGTGGGGTGAGAATATCCAGGCTCATCCATTTCCTCTGGAGAGTTCCTCTCTTCCTCCCAACTATTGGGTTTGTAGGGGAGAAAGAGGCATCGTTCATTGGGTTCTTCACCACAAAAATATGGGAAGGGTTTCCCAAAGGCAGGCAGAGCTCTCCCACCCCTGGGTAACCTCAGTTTTTTGAATTCTCCTGAATTTGGCCCAGGTGGCCACATTTGTGACAGAACAACAAACCATTTAGATTCTTTTGCCTTGGTTTTGTTTAGTTTGGTGGTTGAGGCCAGCTGGGGTTTTCCTGTGCTCTGTGGCTCCGTGCCACAGGTCCCTTGAGGTGCAGGAGGAGGCCTCACTAAAAAGGGAACTGGTTTTTGAAAGGGCTTCCAGGGGGTGGAGAGTTCTCCTGGCTGGTGAACTGGAACAGTCAGGGAGGAGCTGACAGTGCTGAGGAAGGTGAGACCTTCTCTGCTGTGCAGGGCAGGGTCAGGAGATCAGGGCAAGGTTCTTCCCCCAGAGAGTGCTGGGCACAGCCCCGAGGCTGCCAGAGCTCCAGGAGAGCTTGGACACTGCTCCAGGGATGCCCAGGGTGGGATTGTTGGGGTGTCTTTGCAAGAAGAGAAGCTGGATCAATGATCTGTCTGGCTCCCTTCCAGCTGTGCATGTTCCATGGTTCTCTGAGAGGAAATGCACAAGTGTTTGCCACAGATAGTAGACAAGGGAGTTAACAGATATTTTTAGCTCCATAGCAGCACATTGGTGTCCAAATATTTTCTGTGCTCATGGTCAAAGATCTTTTGCTTATCTATGACATATGCTGGTAATTATGTGTAATAAAGACATCCTACAATGGTAGAAGATGAATTTATGTTGTGACAGTGCAGATTTTAGATCGATTATCACAGAATCATCATGGGCTGGAAAGGGCCCTAAAGGTCATCTAAGTTCCACCTTGTTATTCCACTGGTTTAGTGCTGCCTGAAGCAAAACACCACAGCCATATTTGGCTAATTGCCAATTAGGTGCCCTTTGATGTTCACTCAGCTTGGGAAGCACTGTGCCCACGCTCTGCAGCTCCTGTCTCACTACAGCTGAGGGTTCCACACACAATCCAGAGCATTTCACACTTTCACTCTGCTCCTGGGCTCTCAGAGCAGTGGTGCTTCCAAGCTGGAAGTGCTGGAGTGCCCTCAGTCCTGCTGAGGAATTGCTTCAGCAGAGCTTTGGTGTGGAAATGTTCCTGTCCTGCTGCCCTGAGCTGCCTGCATGTTGGGAAATGCCAGTCCCTGGCTCCTTCCCTGAGCACACACTGGTGTGCTGCTCTCTCCTTCCTCCTGCTGGGGCTTGTGCCTGGCCTTAAAATTAAAAGCAACAATGGATTTATTTGACACATGAGCTTGACATGGAGATGAAACTCGAGAATACGAGCCCTGTGTGTGCTTGTGTGCACACATGTGCTCATGTGTTCCCTGTGGGGGGTGGGTACAGGGATCCCTGGTTCTGGTGTGGATAGTAGGCAGCAGGGGGGTTGGATGTGGTTGGTCTGGGGCTTGCTCATGGCTGAGAGAAGCAGAAGGTAGGTGGGAGCAGTCTGGGAGCATGTGGAGGGCAGGGCAGGGTTCTGGCTTCCTCCAGATGGGTTGGGACGTGCCCTGCTCATGGCTCCATGTTGCAGTAAGGTAGAAAATGATGAAGAAAAGCCTTATAAAATCAGGCCTGCTCTGGCTGGCCTGTCATTTATTCTGAGGGAAGTTAGCACTGTGGAAGTTCCCATGTGAAGCAATCCTGGGGTGAGCAGTTTGTTAGCATAACAATCTGTTCCTAACATCCTGCTTTGGGATGGCATTTTCATTCCCAAAGGAGACCAGACACCTGTTTTGGGCCACTCTTTCTTTCCTGTGGGCCCATCAAACAACTGAGGTCCTGCAGGCAGAGATGAGCAGGTTTGGTGTGTGCAGGGAGGCTGGGATTTGTTTGGGAGGTGAGATTTTGGGAGCAGCAGGAAGCAGGACAGCACCTATTGGAATAATTACCAATATAGCCGGACAGGATGTGCCTGAGCTTGTCTGGTCTTGGTGCTGAACCAAAGAGTGGCAGCTGTGGTGTTCCACCCCAGAGACACTTCTGGCTAAGCTGGATCCTGCAGCTGGGCATGTGGAGGGAAGTGCAGGCATGCAGGAGCTCTGCATGGTGGGATGGAGCCTCCTCTCATGGAAGGTCTGCTCCTCAGCTTTGCCTCTGTGGAGAAGCTTTAAGGTGATGGTGAAGGAAAGGAATCAGTTCTGATGGAGGGGTTCAATCCAGAGCTTTATTCCTGGCCCACAGGCCTCTAAATCCAGCAACAGCTCCATGAGAACTCTTTGAACTGCATGGTTGATGTTCTTTTACCCCGGCCACCTCCCCAGTCACCTCAGGCAGCAGGACAGGAACATTTCCACACCAAAGCTCTGCTGAAGCAACTCCTCAGCAGGACTGGGGGCACTCCAGCACTTCCAGCTTGGAAGCACCACTGCTCTGGGAGCCCAGGAGCAGAGTGAGAGTGTGGAATGCTCTGGATTGTGTGTGGAACCCTCAGCTGTTGTGAGACAGGAGCTGCAGAGCGTGGGCACAGTGCTTCCCAAGCTGAGTGAACATCAAAGGGCACCTAATTGGCAATTAGCCAAATATGGCTGTGGTGTTTTGCTTCAGGCAGCACCAAACCAGTGGAATAACAAGGTGGGACCTACAAGGGAGGAGGGAAGGGGTTGGGAGCCACCAACCAGGTACAGGAGAGGATGTCTTAAAGGAACAAAGGAAACGTGGAGGGCATCCTTTGAATCTGCCTGTGACAGTGTTCACAGGGTTCTTGGATGAGGGAAGAGATGAAGGCTCTGACTCCATGTTTCAGAAGGCTTGATTTATTATTTTATGATATATATTAAAACTGTACTAAAAGAATAGAAGAAAAGGTTTCATCAGAAGGCCAACTATGAATACAAAGGAAGGAATGATAACAAAGGTTTGTGGCTCTGACAGAGAGTCCAAGCCAGCTGACTGTGATTGGCCATTAATTAGAAACAACCCTATGAGACCAATCACAGATGCACCTGTTGCATTCCACAGCAGCATATAATCAATGTTTCCATTTTGTTCCTGAGGCCTCAGCTTCTCAGGAGGAAAAATCCTAAAGAAAGGATTTTCATAAAAAGATGGCTGCTACATCTGGCAAGCACTCAATGCCCTTCTGGAATTCCAGGATTGACAGATAGTGCTGGGAGGGGAAAGGAGAGGTGGCTGACACATTTAGGAGGGAATTATCAAGGGAGGAACCCGAGGTTCTGAGGTAAACCCTGAAATCACAA